TTAGTTCTCTGGATGTCCACTTACAGTGGATGTGGCCAAGTTTCCCATAAAGTTTGTTTATAGCCACCAGTCCTGGCTCTCAGTGTTCTGTGCTGTTATTTAGCTCTAATTTACCCCTAAATGTCTTCTAAGAGCCCAGCAAGCAGTGGAAGTGTTGGCAATGCTCCTAGATAATATTGACACTCCTCCCCCTCCCCCTTGGTTCGGCAAAATCTCCAGTTCAGCACCAGTCAGGTCCTGAGGGTGCTGGACTGGAGGTTCAACCTGTAGAAGCGAATTTTAGAAACATTCCCTCAAATACAATTTTCTTTCTCATCAGAAAGTCTCTTGCTTATAACAACACCTTTGTTAATTCCAGTTATTTACAATGGGACAAGACTGAGACTAGGCAAGATTTATTACCATTACATCACTGATGTTCAGTAATTCATAAAACACTGGGTCTAGGAGTTAACACTGCTGTTATTTCCTCTGATGGCTGACCTCATCACAATCTAATAACATACAGGAAATCCAGAAGACAAAGGGGGAAAGCAGTGGTCTTGATTGCTAAAAATAACCATAGAAAACTAACACAATCACGTAATAAAGTATCCCCAATAATTTATTTAACATAATAGTAGAATCTGCTAAAGCAATTGGAATCCATTATTCCTGTTCTAAATGTATTATGGAAAATAAGAAGGCTGGAGAGGGAATCACTTAAAGATCTCAGACTTTTAAATTGTATAGTTCAATTGTATGAATTGGTTTTAGGAGAGTGTTTCCTATTACTTGCATATGCTGTGTACTTAATAGCTGAGCTAAAACAGACAAATCATTGTATAGCGCTTATGTTTCCAGAGGTCATCCTGTGTGAGCTAGACAGTGATGTGGATGATATATTATACTTGACACCGCAGAATGTTGCTATTCAAAGGCATTTGAATTCTCAGTGTCCCTGAGAACTGTTCAATATTCTAGATGGTATCTAATCTCTGGTATGTCACTGAGATGGGATTTTTTGGTGTCTTTGCTAATCAATCAAGGTTAACATGACATTCATGTTGTGCACATTTTTTTCACTCTACGTTTGCTAGATCATCTTCTACAGAGAAAATGGGACAAAGAAATTGTAGGGGATTTCTATAGATTTTTTAAAAAAAATTAGTAGTTATTCGTGACTTTAATACAGTCAGGATTTAGGCAGTTATAGAACAGGTAGAGTGAGCGAGGTTTACATACCAATCTACAACTATTATCAGAAAAACGCTCAGATCAGTCTGCCAACTAAAGCTTGTCAAAGATTGCAAAAACAAATGTTAGCAAATATTTATTCTTATTTCAAACAATTATTCAGTTTGATTATGCCTTTGTCCTTCTTTATTTACTTAAGTTGCACAGAGATTCAGGGAGTGCCTATTCTTCCAAGGAACACCAGTATTACCATTCAATCAAAGATATTTATGTGTGAAAAATAATATTTGTTAATTGACTTTGACAAACAGTTTTAAAAGCATTTTCATCCAATCAGAGTACAGAAGCATACTATGTGATTTGTATGACAAACCACACATAATAAATAATGAATAGCAAGTTAGTAAAGGCAACTGTTTGTGAACAATTCATTTGAATCACATGTATTCAATCATAATTTTCATTTGTATAGAACAGCACCATTATTCTGTAGATCTTAAATCCCTTGAAACTATTAAATCATTCAGACTCCAACAACCCAGGAGTTGTTTTGAGTCTAACCAGGTGAATCTGAGCCACCAATAAATTGAAGTCAAACTTTTCAAAATTGGCTCTCTAAAATTCAGCCCTAAGTAAATTGTCCTGATTTTAGATTCCCATTTAAATCTACAGAGCCTAAAAATCACATCATGAATTATGATTAGGGTCTTCAAAAGGAGCCCAGGAGAGTTAATTGCTCAAATTCTATCAAAGTTTAAGAGCCAGATTTTCAAAGCAATTTAGCCACTTATAGAAGCAGTAAGATGCCTAGTGGGATTTTCAAAGGTACCCTAGCAGATTAGACACGTAATGCCCATTAAAATTAATGAGAGTTACTAAACTCTAACCTGCATTGTTAGAGACCTAATAGCTTTGAAAACCTGGCTCTAAGTGCCTAGCTGTATGAACCCAGTTTTGAAAAGTTTGGCCTAAATGATAATCTCAAAATCTGTGGCAAACTCAGGTGTAGAAGCCAAAGACCCAGTCCTGATTCAGCTGAAGTCAGTGGGAAAATATAAGTAGGATTAAACTCTGTGCCTTCTGTGTCTCAGGCTTCCCTCTTTTACATTAGTATTAATTTGAATTACTGTATATGGAGCTTCGATAGGAAATGAAACCTAAAGACTTTTATAATTCACATAGCAATTCTATTGGCAGCCTGGTTACAATAATCTTTCTTTGAAATTATTTATATTTGTTCTTTTACAAAATTTCAGTTTACAGCAAGCCTAGGTGCTAGGCCTACTTTTTCATGAATTTTAGTCTTTGATTATATAATAGATATCAAACAATGTTTAGAGTGAGCATATTGTGAACCCACTATGCTCTTCTTGCTATTAATGGATAGGAGATTTGCTGACTCACTGCGGTATGATGCTTTACATTCAAATTATAAAGCCCAGGAAGCTTCCAAATTATACATTCAAGCATTTTTCCAAGGGCAAATAATTTGCATACTCTCTTGCCCAAAGCTTCTCACCTTTATTTATTATTTGAATTGAATTTCCATTTTCGATATATGTCCAGCATTCTTATAAATATTCAAGGGTGCATTTTTGTTGACGCTTTTAAGGGCTAAATTCTGCCATCAGACCACGTATGATGATTACAATCTCCTATTGACTAGCTCCTTTGAGAGCAGAATCTGGGCCTAAACACTACAATTTACAGAAGCACATAACCTAGTGCTTATTTCTAGTAAGAGTCCTTCTTATACCTTCTTACTCTTATTTAAGTGTGTGCACAAGATCTTCTTAATAATTTGCTCTGTTTATTACTTGTTTGTATTCTAAGGGATGAGGTTTACTCTAAATTCTACTACTTGTAATAAGTTAGGCATCCAGTGGAACATGCTTCCAGAAGTCTTCAGACTAACAATACACCTTTATGGGTCACCTAACAATTATACATTTATTATTATTACTCGCTGATAGATTTAGGAACTTCATTAACATCTTTTCATAGTATTTAATCTGCAACATGAACACATGATGGGATTTTTCCCTTATTCTTATTTCAACAGGGTTATTCCCAAAAAGCCAAGAGCCGGTCATCTACATCCATTGGTCAGATATTACACTCTGTCGTAAACCATTCCTAATGGAATCACAGAGTCATCAAACCACTGTAGTGCAGTTTAAAATCGCAGCCTTCATGTATCGAATAATTCTTCACATCTGTTTCTTATTTGTCTCATAATGGCACACTAGATTACACTGGGATGATATTAAATCTGTTATGACACTAACTTTGTAATATTATCAGGGTACAGGTTGAGCAATTAATTACATTAATGAAAGAATGCCAGGAAAATCTATATATATAATAAAATTTTATTAAAAACTGGTTTATAGCATTAGTGCCAATTTTCTGTTACTATTGTCCAGTACTAATAATGTCATTTGCTTATTCCTTTAATATATAATGCAAGAATTAGACTTGGGGTGGACAGCTAAAATTCAGACCAAGTTTTCTCTTTTCCTTTAAGTTAATATGCTACAGTTAATGATTTGAGGGAGCAAAGTCAGGAAACAGATTTGGAGCGGTAGACTGAAGATCATAGTTTGAAAACTAAACATAAAAGGACACACTGAAGAAGAAAGAGAGATCATGGTGCATGAGATCAGAGAGGACACTTAGACATAGGAAGATAGAATAATAGAAAGTATAGAGTCAGGAGGTGACCAGGTAAATGACATGGAGTGAATGAAGAGGACAGGAATAGGAAGATGAGAAAAAAATATGGAGGCAGATTGTTGTGACTGAAATAAAAGTATCATGTGCTTTAGTTTCTTTAAACTATTAATATTATGTTAGGCCTAAGATACAGGATCGTTTCTTTCTATGTGTACAACACCTAACACAATGGGTCCCCGACTATAAATGCAGTGGGAGGGGAAGGGAGAAAAAAGGTGTTACAGCAAGCTTCTATAATTATAGTCCATGCCATGTACAGGAGATAAGGAAATCTATCCCTAGAATATATTATGTTTCTTTCATGGGAGATGTGTATTTTACCCACAGGGCATAAACTAGAATCTTTGTGCTTATTTTGATTGGCAGATATGGCCCTGAGCCAATGAAAAATAATTAGATGTACTAAAGTCCAATTGTTTTGTATTTATTGCACCTGATTTGTTTAGAGTTGGCTGAGGTTTTATTTGATCTCATTTATATCTCATCTTGCTGTTCCCCCAGCTCACCAAACTCAAAAGTAATGTATTGAAAAGTACTGAAAGGGAATGACTACTAATAATGTGAATGAACTGAGTTTGTGGATAAGGAAAATGCTGGTCATGAAAAGCCCAAGTTAGCTGGAGCAGGATGTAATATTGCAATTCATGCGATGGTTTCTTCTTGGGAAATGTGGCAATCATGATCAAGGAAACATGCTTCCCCTTTTTTTTTCCTTTCAAAAACAGAAGTCCAAATACCAAGATCTTTACTCAGTCCTTTCTCAGGGTAACTTGTGCTGAAAGCAATGCAGTGTTATTATAAATATAGGAGGATTAGACTGGAGCTCACGAGTTACCTGGGTGATTTTTGACTGATGTTCAGCAATGTCAGTTGAGTTGTAAGACAAACAAGCTGGGCCTGATTCTTAGCTGGTGCACATAATTTTGGCTTCATTGATTTCCTTGGTGCATGCCAGTTTGCACCTATTTGCCCTTTCAGAGGTATCTGACCCTCTGGAGTTATCTTGGATACAACATTGCATTGAATCAAACTCAATATTAGTGTTTGGTTTGTCAGATAATTGTATTGCTTTTTCTTTTCCTTGACAGGACAACATTTTTAAATTGGAAGAGTCACATTTTGAAAATGGACGTGGGAAAAGCCCCTATGATCCCAAATTGCTGACAGCGTCACTTTTAATAGGTATGTATGGTAGTGGAAAATGAATGAGACCTATTTTCTCCACAGAGAACCACAAGTTTGCTACAAGTATCAGAGGGGTAGCAATATTAGTCTTCAGTCACAAAAACAATGAAGAGTCTCGTGGCACCTTAAAAACTAACAGATTTATTTGGGCATAAACTTTGTAGGCAAAAAACTTATGCCCAAATAATTAAGTTTGCTACGTTTTGCCTTTCATACTATTTCTCAGTGGTGGCAGGCTTGGGGTTTTTTTTTTTTTTTTTTTTTTTTTTTGGAAGGGGGGTGGTTCTATGTTACAATCCTTCCAAGTTGATTATTTGGCAGATTACTATTTAAAGCATGCCTCAAATATCAGCTATTTTGCTTGTTTTCCCACTAAGGAATTTGAGATGGCAACGTATTGCACACTCTTCATTTCAGCTGAAGTCAGTGGGAGCAAGGGATAATCAGGAATTTACACATACAAACCCTAAGACCCTTATCCGAAAGCTGTCTAGGGATACTAGCATGCAGAGCTAGAATCTGGGATTGTGGGGTGCCTGGAGAACAGACTCTCACTCATCAGCACCCACAGAGGTGGATAAAGTTGAATTTTGCTAAACCTGGAAGCCAAGCTCCAGAGGACATTTTCTCAGACCAACCAATGCTTGCAGTGGCTTGATTAGCACCCATATTCAACTTGAGCCAGGAGGAAGCCAGCTAGACTGTCTACACAACTGTGCCAACCTCCTGCTGCCACATTGGCCCCTGCTCTTACTTGCCTCCTGAAATTCTTATCTGTTCTTGCATCCTGAGCTGCTTCTCACTCCTAGCTTCCATCTTGCTCCTGCTCCATGCCTAACCCTTACCGCTCTCCTGTTCCTGCCCTTTTACCTTGCTCCTGACCAATGGCTACTATCCATGGCCTGGACCATCACCTCTGACTTCTGATTGATTTTTGACTCCACGTGTTGGCCTGACTCTAATCCTTACCTTAAATTCCTGTTCCTCACTCTTGTTCAACTCTGCTCTGGCAACCCATCTCTAAAACACAATTCCATTCTCTGTCGTGATACCCTGTTCTGCCCACTAGGATCTGCCTCTTTCCCAGTTCCTAACAGACTCATACAGAGCCCCACTGAAGTTATTGAGGGCCCTAGGAAGTCACTGGGGTGAGGGTGTGGGTGTCCACACACTTTCAAACACAGGATTAGGATCTAAGGGCCAGAGTTTTAAAGATATTTAAGTTATTTCACTGATTTCACCTGGAATTAGAAACCCAAATACCTTTAAAAAACCCTCTGTCCTCAAATTACTATTGTTTCATTGAGCCTGCTTAGATATTCCAACTGAGTTTTGCAAGGCAGGTTAGGAGATTTAGGGTCCATCTGTACAGCAGGGCTAAACGTGAATTAAACTATACAACTTCATCTATGTCAATTGCGTAGCTTAAGTCAAAATACTGTAGCTTAATTCGGCTTTTGGTGCTGTCTACACAGCAGGAAGTCTAAGGAAGAACACTCTTCCTTCTGCTTCCCTTACTCCTCATGAAATGAGTGTTGCCAGGAGTCAGAGTAGGAAGTCCTTCAGCTCAACGTTATTTTGAAATAAAGGCTTGTAATGTATACGCACAGTATATTATTTCAGAATAATGTCAGTTATTCCAAAATAACGTGGCTGTGTAGATGTACTTTTTGATGAACATCTTTAATTGAATCAGCTATTATTAAATTAGAAGTGACTAAATTAATGAAAGATGTGTGTCAAAATCTCCTACAATGTACTGAAAATCTCAGCTTCCCTTAATGTCTACTTTTTCTTTCCTTTTCTTACCTTGTTCTTACAACAAAACACAGGAGTATTGTGTGAGAAGGAAATAAAAAGCCATGTCTCCCTTTCCCCTTAGCTGAACAGTTAAAACTTTGTGTTTTTGCTACAGTGACTCTGTCCTGGACATAGGACTTTGTGTATCAAGGTCAGTGTTTGTAACTGCAATGGTCTGATGCTATATCAGCAACAAGGAGGCATTTATGGACTATCAAAAGTTCATAAAAGTATTCTTTTTCCTCCAACCCTCCCCCTCCCAGAAGATAAAAACTAGTCCTGTGTGTGAGTTATATTCTCTATTACTTTTCAGACATTGGTAATTGGTACCCTTTAAACAGCCAGGCTTCATTCACACTGCAGTTGCTTATAAAAGACAACAAGAATACCTACCCTAGTGTGCTTAGTTAGTCCGAACGATGACAGGTGATGAGCTGCCCTGGGGCTTCACAGTTTTGTAAACAAGAAAAAAGCGCATACCTTGCTCCAGCTTGAACCCTGTACTACATCCAAATGAAAAGGAAAGAAATTTGTGCCTAAAAGGCTGATATATAAATTAATGCCTAGAGCAACTTTAATTTGTGATGGAGCTGCTCCCCTGGGATTGACTCAACTATTTCTTTTAATATTCAATAAAGAAAGAAGATGATGACAAGCTGGTGTTACGCGATGCACATGGTATGCAACCACTCAAAGTCAAACATCTAACCTTTCGCATTCCTTTTTTTACCTAGTCCTGCGCAAATATGATTATTATGTTTCCTTTATTTTCATGTTTCTAACTTTATTTTCAGGGTTCAAGTACAGGTTTCAAGTTGGACTTTATTTTCAATGTTTCTAACAAATCTTTGCCTTTGTCAGGTTAGTCACATTCTTGCCACCACAGTATTTTTTTTCTCTGCCTTTTCCGAAGGTATCCCAGAAAAACTCTGCCACGTCCAGGGAAGGCGTCTGCTCTTCCATTTTTATTTTTATTTTTTTTTTGCAGAAGAGCAGATGTGCTCTTTCAGAAGCCCTATCTTCCTCTTCCTCTTCCTCTTCCTCTTCCTCTTCCTCTTCCTCTTCCTCTTCCTCTTCCTCTTCCTCTTCCTCTTCCTCTTCCTCTTCCTCTTCCTCTTCCTCTTCCTCTTCCTCTTCCTCTTCCTCTTCCTCTTCCTCTTCCTCTTCCTCTTCCTCTTCCTCTTCCTCTTCCTCTTCCTCTTCCTCTTCCTCTTCCTCTTCCTCTTCCTCTTCCTCTTCCTCTTCCTCTTCCTCTTCCTCTTCCTCTTCCTCTTCCTCTTCCTCTTCCTCTTCCTCTTCCTCTTCCTCTTCCTCTTCCTCTTCCTCTTCCTCTTCCTCTTCCTCTTCCTCTTCCTCTTCCTCTTCCTCTTCCTCTTCCTCTTCCTCTTCCTCTTCCTCTTCCTCTTCCTCTTCCTCTTCCTCTTCCTCTTCCTCTTCCTCTTCCTCTTCCTCTTCCTCTTCCTCTTCCTCTTCCTCTTCCTCTTCCTCTTCCTCTTCCTCTTCCTCTTCCTCTTCCTCTTCCTCTTCCTCTTCTTTTCCTCTTCCTCTTCCTCTTCCCAGTGTAGAGGGGACAAATTTTGGAAAAGTTTCTTCCGAAAAAACTATCAGAAAAAGTTATGCAAATTGCGGAGCACAATTTGCGTACCTTTTTCCAATTGATCCCTGTAGTGTAGACATAGGGCTTCAATTAGATCTGTAGGCTGACTTGCAAATTGACTTCTTTTCTTAAACCACAGGGAAATCTTTGCCTCTCTAAGGTTTCCTTATTGCCACATTGTGTTCTGGTCGACATTATAATGCTAGAATTAAGGTAGGACCTTTTACTACAAAAGTTCCCTATGTGCTTTACAAGGCGGGGGCTAGATTCACCCAGTGATTTACACCAGTGGCTTACTCTGCACATAGTGTAATTGTCCCAAAACTTTTTCTGTCAGACCACCCCTTTATCCATATTTGAACCTGTACATACCCCCATTAAATGCAGTTGGGAGCCATGGTCAGGAGCAGAGCTGTGTTTGGGGCCCCTGGTTGGGGCTGGGAGTCAGGGGCTGAAAGTGGGATTGGGAGCAAAGCCAAGAGCTGGAGGAAGGCTGGGAATTGCAATTTGCTGGGAGCCAGGGGGCTGAGGCCTGGGCTATGGATAGGGCTACAGCTGGGACTGGGGCTGCAGCTGGCAATGGGAATCTAAACTTGGGGCCAGATCTGCAGCTGGGACTCAGGAAAGGGCTGGAGCAGAACTGGAGATAGAGAAAGGCTGAGTGGCACACTCCCACCCTACCCACCCATAAGGGCTGTCCCGGGCCCTAACACAGACTTTTGAATACTCTTCCACACAAACCTCAGGGTAACCCACCCCACAGTTTGGGGACCACTTTCATAGTAAAGCCTTTCAGAAGGAGGCAGCTGTTCTTTCTGCTACTTTTTCCTATCAGTGAAATATCTCCTTTAATGCCACTGCCTTATTTAAGGCCGGGAATTGCAATTTGCACCCACACGTATTCGCAGGGTTTAATCTGTGAATATTGAAAATAATCACTGAACCATCACTAAAATGCAGCCATCTTTGGTGTCTAACACAGTTCATATACTGCCAGAAACCCTAAAGAGTGACTTTTTAAAGAGCTAAGTCAAAGAATAAATTCCTGACTCAGAAACAGCAAGGCAAATTTT